CCCATTCACCATTAACAGCCATCTTGAAATTGTCAGGGAGCAATTCTACTAGGTCTGCAGGTATGGTTAACTGAACTATTAGACAGCAATCTTGGTCATCTAGACCATTTGCTCTGACTTGTCTCTGCAACTCAGCTAAGTAGGAGTGAGGATCAGACACGCCATCCCATTTACCCACATTAGCACAAAAATCTCCCAGTTCAGACACAGCCAGCGGAATATGCTCACAAACCTCCACATATTCATACCGTGCAGTGGCAGGCTGCCCGTCAACCTCAGCAGCTGCCCTTCTGCATGTCCTGCGCTCTCTCACACGAACTGGTGCAACTTTAACTGGGCTCACATTAGCTCCCTCATCTGAAGTCTTTCTATCACAGTCAGAATCTAATGCCCAAAGCTGCAACATGTCCCTTAACCCGTTCTAATTTGCTCTTTAGAACAGTATCCTCATCCCCAGCATGCTTTTTAAGCACTTCTGGGTTTTTAATGCTTCTGGACCAAAGTGCCTCATAAGCATTCTGACACTTCTCCAGTTCCTTTTGGAGGAAAGCATTAGCTTCCTTAGCCGCTTCCAGGCCCTGCCTAGGAGAAGCTACCAGTTGCCTCAGTTCAATGCGGTTTTCTGCAGCTAGCCGACGCTCTGCTCGACTAGCAGAGTTCTCCTGTTCGAGACTCTCTATTCTGTTCCTCAATTCAGCAATTGTACTCCTATGCTGACCACACTCAGACTGCGAACTTGCCTGTTCGAGACTCTCTATTCGAGACTCTCTATTTCTTGCTGTCCTTCCAGCAAGGCCTGTAACACGTTAGCATGCCTCTGCTTTTTCTTGGAACATTTCAGGTTCCTTTCCCTGCATGCCTCCTCTAGCCACTCTAGAGGGTCTCCGTACGATCCCTCCTTGCAATGCTTTGCAACATATTCGATGGCCCACTCCAACATTTTAGGTTCCGAGTATAAGTTTAAACTCTCAGTATAAACTTACACAATACACCTACGGTGCCGGTTTACCTCAAGGACACAGGGTTACAGTGTGGGGAACCCTGCTGGTGCTTTCTTACCAAAGCCCAGTTCCTCTACAAACACACCTCCTGTTTACCCTCTATTACTAATAAACAGGTCAAACCAGGAGAATTCTCATGCCTAAGTCTTGAATTACTCCCTATTTCCTATATTACTTTACTGTTTGTCTCAGCGGACGTCTGATATCGCAAACCAGTTATAGTCACAAGCGTGATTCTTTCTGGGTCCTTCGGTTCGCAGAAGAAGGTGGCACGTCTGGAATGAAGCTTTCTGGTCAGTCTTCTCTCCTAGGTGAAGAAATCTTCTCTTCTTGAGGAAAATATCAGCCAAAAAAGGTCCCAGATGATTCTTCCAGTTGTTAGCCCCTTCTCCTGGCTGGCTCGCCAATAAGATGTAAGGAATCCACTTGCAGAGTCTCCGCAGTTTCAGCAAAATGGTGGTTTATTGAACAGTAAAAATAATACAATGTAATAGTGTAGACATACACCGGGTACTAGAGATGCGCGGATCATCTAAAATGTCACCCGAATCCGCGGCTTTAAACAAATCATACACCCGCCACCCGCCCGCACCTATAATTTTCTCTGATATAGATATC